GTTCATTTTCACCTATAGACGTTTTCTAGTACCTTCCATATATATATCTATATATATATATATATATATATGGGAAAAGTTTATATATAGCCGAGGCTCTAAACAATCAAATTTGAGCCTACCTAAAAAATTACACTAGAAGAGGTTGTTTTGATGCCCAAATATCCTCATATTGATCATCTCGATGTCAAGATACATGGACATGAAAAAAAAAAGGATTTCAAGTTTTGGAAATAGTGTATTCTATAACGCATTTTTTGACCGTCAATTTTTAAGATTTTCAAGTTTTCATAGATCTGTCGATCTACGCTGCATTTGAAACTTTAAATTTTATAAAATAACGATAAAAATAAATTTTAAGGTTATTACAAATATTTTCAATAATGAAACCACATTTCTCGATACTATTTGAAGGTAGGCTGTAATTTGATTGTTTAGACCCTAGGCTCTATACAAACTACACCATATATATATATATATAATTTAAAAATTGATGTAAGGCTGTAAACTCTTTAGGAAAATTCAAAAATTATATGACAAGAAAAAATTACAAATCATCGTACCAAAATTCAAATTACATTATGTTGTTCCTATATTTATTCCACAAATTTATACAATTTTGTTATTTCTAAAATATGCCTAAGTTGTACCTGGGTACGCTGCTCAAAGGGGCCCAGTCCGAGTGGGGTCGGAGTTGAACATTGGCGGCAATACACTAGTACTGCTGGTATCTTCAGCATCCATACCCTTAGGCATTAGCATTGTTGATGGATTATGAGGATGTAATGCAGACTATGAAATGCGGACTATGAAATCTTATGGTTTAAGCTTTGTCGTTCACGGTTACAATGATGGTCTTCGTGTTCTGCAGTGTTGTAGGTATGTTTACGGTTATTGCTGGTCTTTATGCCGTTTTATGGGGCAAGGCCAAAGATGGCAAAACCGATAACGAAATAGCCGACAATTGTAAGGAATGCAGTTTGGACAACAAAGATACAGAAAGCAAAGAACAAGTAAACATCGCCCACAGTGCAAAGGAATTCAATTTGGATGTCAAAGACATGGAAGGAAAGGAGTACGTGGTCGAGGTAAAGGAATTGGATCAGTGAAATGGAAATTAGTTGGGCAAGAAAGCAACTTTCTTCCATTTTACACCTTTGCCGATGCTCTGTTGATTTCATAACAACATTGTCTAATGGCCTTTAATCTAGTGGCCTACATTTCGTTTATAAGAGCGAGATCGAAGGTAGCAGACCTTGAGTTCTACCCCTATTCCAAACAAAGTCAATGTAGCAAGAAAGTAAAAGGAAGATCAGTAACTACAAGGCCCATGACAAGATTTCACAAGCTACAATTGCATAGGGTGTTGAAGAAGGATCATGGAATGGCCCATCAATGGTGGCCTCATGCTTTGTTTTTATGATCAATTTTCGCATTCTAATAATATATTTCGATTTTTTTTCCATCAAAGCTGATGCTCTCTTACAATGGTCTCGGTCACCGGAATGGGGGTGGGGCATGGGTGGTTTATTCAATTTTAATAAATTGTTTTATTCAATTTTAAAAATAATATTTTTTTATAATATTCCATGGGGGCCCATAGTGCACATGGGCCCACCATGTGGCATCTGGATGGGGGCCCACAAGTGCCACAAAAAGGTGGCACGCCCCACACTCTTTGGATTCTTTTGTTTACTTTTAAGGTAAGGTTAGTTTGATTTGTGGCATGTAGTCAAATCTTGGCAACGATATATTGACCATGGTTTTATCTATTTTGTAGCAAGTTTGTTTTAAAAAAATATGGTCAATTTGAATTGATATGGATCTTATCTTATTTATATTTGGTAGTATTTATCTACTTGATATTATTTGACATATCCTTATGGAATATGTGACATGGATCGTGCAATTTTATAGAATGCATGATATTTATTTTATTTAAATATATTGATGGGAAAATGGTTTAGGAAACGGGATAATGTTTTATGCATCTTCCATAATGTTGATGGCCCATCTATGACATGGATGGCTCAGATCTCTCACCCCACAAGTCACCCTTGATCGATGGTCTACGTTCAATCTCACAAGAAGAGACAAGTTAAGGAAAACCCTAATCTTATTCAAAGCCTATAAAAAAAATTTGTCTCTACCCAAAAATCTCTACACCTTATCTCTTGTACCTAATTCTCATCTTTTTCTCTCATATCCCAAAAAGGGAGCACGCACCACTCTCACATGTTTGATCTCTCTCTCCCACATTGTAAAAAAACCTAAAGGTTTAGGTTATAGATTTCTTCTCTCATATCTCTCAAATATGGATTTACGGCTAAGGGTTTTAGGGTTTAGCAAAAAGGGAATTCATCTCTCTCAAACTAGGTTGCTAAGAGAATTCACTTAGGGTTTGAGTTTGTGATCAAAGGGGTTCATGTTGGTGTGGCTTGGCCGAATTTTGTTTTCCCAGTTCGAGATTGAAGCTAGACCGTTGATCCCACTCCATCGGATGGTGGTGACTCGGTGTGGGGTGTAATAAGCCCGATTGAAGTAATCTCTGACACTCTTCCTTTTTTGTTTCTTGTAATCTTATATTTTATTCTCAAGCATAGTGCATAGTTGTTTCAATGGCATCAAGTTGTTAAGATCTTGGTTTTATTGTTATGTTGATTTTATTTTGAAATTTATTTTATTATAATAAAGACCACCTATAAGTGATCTTTTGCCAAAAGAAATGGGTGGAAAAAAAAAATATATTCCTCGGTAAAAGATCACATAGGTATTTCTTTCAAAATAGCCTTGTTTCCAAACTTTAAGATAGACTACAATAATAATGCAAGAGAAAAGAGTACAAATCAGAAAAAAAAAAAATGAAAAATAAATTGCACTAATTCAAGATATCAATAATTTGAACATGAGTAAGAGGAATCAAGTAAGCAAATAGTCAAAACTTTGTACTCAAGCATATGAACAGCCCTATACACATTTGAAGAAACACAACCCAACACAGGCAATAGCGATAGATGATGATAAATGAAGGGTCTTCTTTTGTACTCCCTCACGGTGAGGATTCAATAATTCTTGAAATGTATTGGAAGGAAAAGATTCACCACAATAAAGAAGAAGATTTACATGGTTTGGCTAGGAGGCCTACGTCCACGATAAGGAAACCACTCTCTATATTTTATTAGGATTACAAGAGGGTTTTTCTCAAATATATAGACTTTTACATTTGATAAAGATAGAAGGTAAATTGTAATCCCTTATTCACCGTGTTACAGATATGGTAAGCCAGTTCGGTGCTACAAATATGGTAAGCCAGCCATATTTTCTGGCTAGTCAACTTGACTCCTGGATTCTCTCAACACTCCCCCTCAAGTTGGTGCAAAAACGTTTATTGAGCCCAACTTGTCCAAAATCTGATAGAATCTTGACTTTGTTATACTTTTAGTTAGAATATCATCCAATTGGTCTTCATTACGAATAAATGAGGTCTGAATAATTTTTTCTTGAACTTTCTCACAAATGAAGTGGCAAACCACTTCTATTTTTTTTGTCATTTCATGAAATACAGGATTAGATGCTATATGTATTACTGCCCTATTGTCGCAAAACATATCCATAAGTAAAGATATGTTAAATCTCATATCTTGAAGAAGAAATCTTAACCATACAAGCTCACTGGCAGTTGAGGCCATAGCTCTATATTCGGCTTCAGCAATAGAATGAGCAACTACAGATTTCCAAGGCATCAAATTTTCACCCACCATAACACAATACCCTGTAATAGATCTTCGATCATTTGAATTACTAGCCCAATCAGCATCAGAGTAATCACAAATATCAACATTGTTATTGTTTTTCATCCATATTCCTCTTCCATAGGAACATTTTAAATATATTAATATCTTATCAACAGCTTCCAAGTGCCCTGTCCTAGGGGCATGCATGAATTGGCTAACCAATCCAACTGCATGAGCGATATCAGGTCTAGTTATGGTTCGGTAGATTAATCTTCCAACCAGTCTCTGATATCGTCAAATGTCCTACAATAATTCACCATCAGTAGAAGAGATCTTATAGTTGCATTTGATGGGAAGTTTCAAAGGTTTAACTTCCGTTTTTCCAGTTTATTTCAGTAGGTCTAGAATATATTTTTGTTGAGACAAAAAAATCCCTTTCTTTGAGTAGGCCACTTCTATTCTGAAAAAATATCTGAGTTGTCCCAAATCCTCAATGTCAAACTTTTTATGAAGATAATTTTTTAGCTTTGAAATTCCCTCCTTGTCATCACCAGTGATGACAATATCATCAACTTAGATGAGAAGAATCATTGTTCCACTTTTACCCCTTTTTTAAAACATAGGCGAATCAAAAGAACTTCTATGAAAGCTGACATTAAGCAAGGCTGAACTGAGCTTAGCATACCAAGCTCTTGGAGATTGTTTTAACCCATATAAAGCCTTTTTTGACTTACATACTCGATGAGATTCCCTTTATGGATGACCAGAAGGAAGTTCCATGTAGACTTTCTCCTCAAGGTCACCATGCTAAAAGGCATTTTTAACATCCATTTGGTATAACATCCATCTACAATTTACACAAATAGAAAGAAGATCACAAATAGTAGTCATCTTAGCAACTGATGCAAAGGTTTCTTTGTAGTCAATTTCATAAGTTTGAGTAAAACCTTTTGCAACCAGCCTTGCTTTTTGCCTTTCAACAGACCCCTCATTGCTATACTTAATCTTAAGAACCCATTTGCACCAAGCATGTTTTTTCTCAGGAGGAAGATGAACAAGATCCCAAGTTTGATTTTTGTCTAATGCAAGCAATTCCTCTTTCATGGCTCTTCTCCATATATGATCCACATTTGCATCATGAAATGAAGTAGGCTCAATGTTTTCAGAAATGGAACTAAAAAAATCTTAATATTTGGAGGAAATTTTGTTATAACAAATTTGATTTTGAATAGGATGGGTGAGTGCATAATAAGTAAAGAAATCATTTAATTTAGAAGGGGCACAAGTTAAACGAGTTGACTTGCGCAAAGGAAGATCAAGAGAAGAAGGGTCTGGAGACCTGGTCACGGGGTCTTCATAGCTTTCAACAATGGGGCTTCGATCTTCAAGGGCTTCATTTTCAAGAGCTTCATTTTCCCTTTGAGCACTATCAAAAAAATTATTTTGGTTCTCCCCCTCATTTGTAATTTCTTTCACATCTAATTTCCTATGTTTAATGATTCTCTTTACATTTCTATCAAGAATAGGCATTGTCACATTATTAGTGTCTCTAGTCTCCCCCTGAATCCTTTTGTCAAAAACTTCAGCTGGACTATCTTGAAAAAAGTATTCATTTCATTGAATGTCACATCTCTAGAAACGTATAATTTATTTTTTTTGGGATCGTAACAGTTGTAACCCTTTTTGGTTGACAAGTACCGAAGAAAAACACATTTTATGGCCCTTGCATCAAGCTTATCATGAATTTGTCCAGATACATGAACATAACAGATACATCCAAAAATTTGCAAATGTGAAATATCAATTTTTTTTCTATTAAGACTTCAAGAGGAGACTTATTTTGGAGAACACTACTGGGAAGTCTATTAATGAGATAATAGAAAGTAAGCATGGCGTCAGACTAATAGACCTTAGGTACATGAGTTTCAAACATTATAGATCTTGTGACTTCAAGAAGATGCATGTTTTTTCTCTCAGGTACCCCATTCTATTGAGGTGTTCCTACACAGGATGTCTGATGTATAATGCCAATAGAAGTAAGAAACTCATTAAAAGTCTTATTAGTATATTCTGTGCCATTATCTGACCAAAATATCCTAATTTTGGCATTATACTAATTAGTTATGAGGTTATAGAATGCTTTGAAGGTATCAAAACCTTCACCCTTAGATTTCAAAAGGTATATCCATATCGTTCGTGAGTATTCATCTATAAAGGAAATAAACTATTTGTAACTAGTATAAGACTCAACAGGGGTCGATCCCCACACATCGGAATGAATCAAATAAAAAGGTTCCTCATATGAATGAGAGGTCTGGGAAAATGGCAATCTAGTTTGTTTTTGAAAAACAACACACATCACACCCATGAGAATA